TTTTACCTCCTCAATCCAACAACAAATTACTTCTCAATTTTTTTTTTCTAATTTTTTTTCCCCAGTGTATTAGATGGACTGAAACCTGGTATCCCATGCTGATGGCCTCCTGAAACCCCTGACCATGAATTTTAGTATGACCCCCTAAATTACAAAAAATGAAATAAATCACTGAACAGAGGTGGGGGAATTGTCATTTCAGCTTCCAAGCAGCTATAACTCTTTCCTGGAACTCATTCCAAAGAATCTACATAAGCAAACGAACATTATTCAAATGACCAAACACAAAACCCATAAAAAAAACACTCCAACAACCCGAGAGAATGTCAGGCTGGTCATTGATATGCATCTGACTTGGAATGTGACTGAATACGTGAAGAAGATGGACCTCTGTGCTGCTAATTGAGANGACACACAGGAGCTCTTTCAAGCTGGGCACCGTTTCATTCACAACACCTGTCCCATCAACCAGGAATCACAATCAGAAATACATTAATAATTAATCCCAGGAAGAAATTACTTTAGTTACATTACTCCATATGTAATAGAGTGACTATAGGACCAGTTTGATATAACGCAATTTCATACAATATATATAATTAGGAGCTCCCTGCTCCATCTCGCCATCAGTTTGGGGTCCTTGGCCTGGAAAACGTTGAACACCACTGACATAGGGAATCCCAAACTGGTCCCTGAGCACTAACCCTCCGTTTAGCTGCCACATTAAGTGCCGTCCAAAATCCTATAGGGGGTAGGGCCAGTTGATCATCCGCCCTTAAATAGCGAGTCTGCATCAGTTTCAGGCTCGCTGGAATCCGGCAGCAGGTGTAGCAGCAGCCTGGTGGTGAAGGAAACGCGTTCCGTCAAATGTAAATTCTGCTGGTTTGCTGCATCTTTGTCACACTGACAGAAAATCACATTTAGTATATGAAAAAAAAATTAATTATTTCCAAAATGGAAGGTGCTCTTTGAAATACTTGTTTTTGATCGTATGATTTGTTTTAAGAAAGGGGCAAATGTTTAATGTTAGGTTAACCTGCGCCACTGAGCTACAGCCAAGCACATGGGGTGGCACTGTGTTGCCGTAGCAACAACTGCTTTTCTGTTGGAGGGAAGCTGTGAGTGAGACTTGATAGTGAAGGGTTAGTGGTTAGGGACCGGATTGGGCAGGGAAGGAAGAGATTCTAGCATCAAGGAGAACAAAGAAAAAATGAAACATGAGGAAGGAAGACAATGTAGGAATACAGAAAACAAGAATGATGGAAACGAGAAAGAAAAGATTGTTAACAAAGAGTGACACCATGAATCAAGAAAAGCATGCAAGAAAGGAAATATAGGAGCAGGTCAAATAAGAAAAAAGGAAGACAATGAAGGAATCCAGAAAACAAGAATGACGGAAACAACAAAGAACAGATTGTAAACAAAGAGTGACACCATGAATCAAGAAAAGCATGCAGGTCAAACAAGAAAAAAGGAAGACAATGAAGTTATCCAGGAAGGAAAGGAGAGGGATATGAAGTAGGATACAAGGAAAGAAGGACATAATTAGAGTTATAACCAGGAAAGGACACAAGTTAGGAAGGAATGCCAATAGAAGGGAGAATGAAATGGCCATATGACAGGAACACAAGTGTTTTACTTTCCTTATTTTCCCTCCATGCTCATCCAGACCTGGAAAATACTGGAATCTCTTTCCATACTGTTCTAGGCTGCAGAGAAAGCCTCCAGTTACCTTAGATATGTCCTTGTTGGCTCTACACCAGAAAAACAATCTAGAAATAAGTAAAAAATTCTTAAATTAGGTGTATTTACTCTTAATTTGAGTAGGTAAATGGGATGCTGTGCCAATGCAATTAGTATTTTTACTTTTAAAATCAGGGGTGGAAAGTAATGAATTACATTTACTCAAGTTACTGTAATTGAGTACTTTTTATGAGTAGGCCTAATTTGTAATTTTCTGAGTAGTTTTTGAAATATGTAATTTTTACTTTTACTCAAGTAAATTTTGACCTAAGTAGTTTTACTTTGCTACATTTTAAACCCCCTCACGCTACTGAGTAAAAATAAATAAATACTGATTGTGAAAAAATGAAATGTGGCCCTTTGTATCGTCTCATTATCGATTGCTGCGCTTCGGAAGATGGCAGTTGCTAATCACAACTTAGGGAGTATGGATGAGGAAAGGCCTGAAGAGGAAAACATATTCTGGAGACGAAAGCCAGAAAAAACCATCGGCCATATTTGGAAGGATTATTTGTTTTCAAATGCACAAAAGGGAACAATGTGATCATGCAGTGCAACATGTTCCTGCCCAGCAAAACTGAGCTTTCGGCTTTTAAAACATCAAATTTACGAAAAAATGTGGCGGTAAGTTAGTTATCATAGTGTTGTCTGTTGGACAGCAGGATTGAAAATAGTTTGCACTTTATGGTTCAGGTTGTGACTGTCCTTGTGCTGTGAGGAAGTATGTTCTTTAGCCCAGCTGATCTTTTGCAAGTGTGGATGTCACTGAAATACGCCTTAAAATCGATTAAAACACCTAAAACACCTCGATTCATGA